TTTTATTAACTTTTTGTTTGCTTGCCCATGCAATCTGTCTGTCCTACAGGTACTTCATATATCTTTGATTTATCCATCATTATTTCTGAGAGTAACCATTTCCCAAAGTTTATTTTCAGAGAGAAAAATGGCATGATTTAAGATTGAATTTTAAGGTAAAGTTAAGGTAGAAAACAGAGGTCCTCAAAGAAAATGAGAAAAATCTATTGATTTCTAAATTACTTCTGTATCTTTATATTGTCTTTTAGTTTGAAGAAAAAAAGTCATGTCCATACTCACAGATTGTAGCCTGAACTCAGCACTTGCTGAGCAACTTACTGTGATTTCACAGTTTGCCTCACTCAGAGCAGGGGGTGGGACCCAACAGCCTTGGGAAAGGACCGAGGTTCTTATCAACCTAAATTATCTATGACTTTATGAAAAAGATTGCTTTTATCCTTATTGAAAATACCACCCTTATAACTACTTAGGTCAGAAATGGATGTGATGGATTTCTATCCATTGTGCACTAAGAGTAGAATAGAGAGTAATGGTGTTCTAAGACTTCATTGATGGGAAATGGTTTATTGTAAACAGAAATAGTTGTAAATGAAATGTATTTCTTATGAATTAATTTTAAAAACACAAGGCCGTGTTGTCTCTGGAAATTATTATATTGAAATTTCCAGTAAATAATTTGATCCAGTTATCCTATCTATGTAAGTGTACTTCATGCTTTTCTAATTTTTCTCAGCCTTTTGATTTTTGTGGGGGTTTTTTTGAGCCTGTGATGACTGTCATCTCCACTAGATGGACCTCATGAGATGTTAAACTTTTTTTTTACTGATCTGATTTAATTTTATCTGTATATGAAACAGCATTTTTCTCTTAACTGTACAAGGTTTTAAAAAGTGCACTGCAAAGCCCAAATTCTTTTCTTACAGTGAGTGCATATTGGAAAAATAATACATCTATTATTTTTAGTGAGGACTCGTGATAAAATAGAAGTATGGTATTTTACTGCCCACCTATCAGTCTTTACCCCACCTCGTCAACTTCTAAAAACTTTGAGCAGGTAATAATTTAACAACTGTAAAAATGTGTAGCATATCACAAGGGACTATTCACAGAGGCAAAGCTCAGCATAGGGAGATTGCTTTTTTTTGTTTGTTTGTTTTTAGTTTGTGGATGGGAAACCCCAGGGGTCATTCAAAGCAAGCACCAAAATTAAGTGATGGGAATTGTGCACTGCGGGACGGGTTGGTTTGGGTTTTTTTTCCATTGGGAAGAAGGGGCACAAGGAGGATGGCTTCCCTCAGCTAAGCGTGCCTTCAGTGGGTGCCATCCTGAGATCCAGCAGTAACCAAGCACAATACATGGCCGGTGAATGCGTGCAGTCTCCAAACAAGCTGATGGAGTTGCCCACCAGTAAGCTGATGGGAGTTAGCTGACAGCGACCATGTGTGGCTCTGAAGTGGTCACAACTTTCTGTCTCTTACCAGACCAAAGCAGCAAAAAGCCTGGGATGCTTGGGGTGGAAGGGCAGCTGAGAACACGGGGAAAAGGCGAAGCACATTGCTGCTTAACTAGAGATGGTTGAGTCATGTTAGTAATGCAGCTCATAGGCATTGTTTGAAATTTAAAAAGCTGCTCTAAGTTACTCTTAGCAATATTGTTATGTGTATTATATTTTTCAACATAGTTTTTATGTGTTTTATTAAACACTTTTATTACCAGTGAAAGTATGCATCGCTGCTAAATAGGAGTGTTACCTTCATGGACTATTAGCCAAGTTTGTAGTTAACAGTGCATCATCTACTGTTCTCAAACTAAAAAGGGTTCTTCTGCTGGAGAAACTTTTCTCTCCTTTCTGTTCACCCGTTTTTTTTATATTACACCTGGATTATCGTTATATTGTTGTTTAGAATTAATAGCATTTTATTAATAATAAAATTATTGATAAATATAACTAACAGTACGTTCAAAGGCTAGTTATAATGTTACATTTTTCTGTGAAAAGCCAGCAAGTTATAAAATTGCAATAAATAGAAAAAAGTCTTTGGATCAAGTAATTGGGTAATTCAGGTCTTCAACTGAGAGTCACGTAAGTCAAACATTCAATTACAGCCAGCTACACAGAAGCTAGCAAGCTTCGCTGGTCCCGCACACCACATCTCCATGATTCCTATCGTAAGTGTTGCGCTGTATGTGCTTACCTTTCTTACCTTCCGTTCTTAAATGTTAGCTTATCCAAAGAACAGCAGGGTATTTATGTTATTTCATCCCCACGCTGAGCAGCAGAGGAGAACTGAGCGTTAGTCTGTCCACTTCTGTTCACCATCTTGCAGCAATGCAGTAGCTGTCTATACAAACAATTTTACAAACTGTATTTTCTTTATTATTTTCACGCTTCATGGAGATCATCTCAACAAAGCTACAAGATCGAGAGCACCTTTTTTGAGTTTTTAATGTTGAGCGACTTCCTAAACGGATAGCGTTTACGACTCTTGCAGAGAAATTCTTGTCTTGTGAGTGTACGTGCCATTTTGTTGCTGTCTCATCAGGCATGCTTTCCAGCCATCAGTGCATAATTTTTTCCAAGTTTTTCCTTTTAGTAATATTTTCAGTAGAATTCTCAGATGCTTCTAGATGTCAAGCATTATTAGAATGCCTGGCTCTACATTTTTCTCAACCAGTGCTATTTGCTTTGTTATTAGCATTTAGTAACTTTTTTTCTTCTTACTCTCAAGCAAGCATTAAAATCCTTTGTCTGCGAAAGATCCAAGTGCACTGTTACATTTCCATCTATGGTTACCCAATTCAGTAATTTGGAGTGAGAATAGCAGTGAACTTAATTGTCATTCTTTAGGGGGCCAGAGCCTCAGCGAGTGCAGAATGACAATCATGTTATGCTGGTTAGGATCTGGTCTAAAACATTGATGTTCCACAAGATGGAAAACCTTAGTTAAGATCATCCTTTTGAAGACACTGTGTGGATGCAACCGCGGCATAATCTGGTGCATAATAATGGTAATCTCTTCCCTTCCCAAGTGTCCCTGGGAAAAAAAAGAGCTTGAGGAAACGTGTTCATTTCCTGCAATAAGTAGTCATTTAATTAAAGAACAAAAGTAACAGGAATCAAAAATGCTTGCAGCTGTGATTCTGTTAGACATTATATAAAAAAGAATGAAATTATAATACATTAAATTAGTTTTTAGAACATGAACTTAAGTGTTTTACAAACTAATTGTGGTAAGTTCAAAATGTCTTGTCAACGTAATACTGAATGACAGCGTGTCATGTCCATTTATGTCGGAGGCCTTGGAATGGTAAAGCCTGTACATGCACAACATCTCCTTTTCCAAGACAGACTGCAAAACAGTTTAAAACAAGTGTTAAAGGAGAGTAGTAGGTTCTTTCAAGTAGCTTTACTTCAGTCTTTTTCAGCAGATCGTCCCACTCCACAGGCCGTCGCTCTTCTGGCTTCAGAGCGAAGTACGTCTCTGGTATTTCTTTCTGTAGGTGAGTGCTGCAGAGACTTCATCTGCAGAGTCCTTCTTTCACATAAACGTCAAGGTATCCTGGACTGAACTTTAGGGAAAGCCTTATATATTCCCTGATGTGTGTTCAGCAGCAATATCAAAAAGTAAAGACAGATTCTTCTCAGAAGAAAATTTCTATGGCCTGTGAAATCTAGGAGAAAGAAGAGACATTTTTCAAACCATGTCAACATTAAAAAAAAAAATTAACTTTAAAAGTGGTTGTTTTTTTTTTTTTTTTTTAACCACTCTACTTAAGGTACAGTAACAGTATTGAAGAATATTAGCAACTTTAAGTCTTAATTTTCACCAATGCATTTCCACACGTATGCCATGACTGCAGTGCAGTTACAGCCCTCAGGGCCCAGTCTAACCAGTTTACCGTTATTTGGGAGTGCAAGTGCAAATATAGGTGTGGGGTTGATTTTGTGGGGGTTTTTTGTTTTTCTTTTAGGAATTAAGCCCCAGGTTGTCATTGGTAGAAATATTCCTTATTGTGCAGTGATCTTGTTATTTTGTAAGAGTTTAGCAATGTTGAGCTGATGCTTTGGAAAACGTGAGCCCACACAGTTGGTTTAATGTATGATGGTCGTAGGAGCCTGTCTGGAATAAATACACCCTGGCTATGTAGGCTTGTTCATTTGGCTGAGATATGTAATTGAAGTCCCAACCGTTTGTAATGCCTTAGCACTAATTGTAACCCTGTTTATTCCTAGTAGGCTGAACAGATTTCAAAATATATCGTTATTATCTCCTTAAACCTCCCAGGTAGCGTCAATTAGAGAAGGTATATCTCACTTTGAGACTTAAACTGCAGCCATCCCTTTTTTTTTTTTTTCTTGTATTTTATTCTATCGGTGCAGTGATATCTTGCCATAAACGTTGTCTGAGTCCTGCGCTGTTAATAGGGTCCTAACAATTGCATGAACAGTCTAGGATTATATAATTACAGCACTTAGATCACTGGATGTTGCATTTACCACTCAAGTGTATTTGCCTAGACCATCTTCTCATTGACATCCAAAGCTCATTTAAGCTGGAATTCATTCTGAGTTCAGAAATAAGCATGGAAACGCAGGCCCAGGCACTGCTAAAGTGAGCCTGCCACGTTGCGAGACTGCACACCAAGTTCCTGTGTTAGGCAACTTATTTTAGCAGCAAGCAGACCTGAGAATGCTTGCAGACACGGCAAGAGTACACTGTGCTCCCACCAACTCCTAAAACTGTGTTTTAAGAGCAATTGGACCTCCTCAAGAGACCTAATAGGAACTGTAGGAGCTAACTGATTGCTATTTCAATTTTTCTCTAACTAACAAGGTCTTTTTGCAAGTAACGATGGCTGTGCAATCAATCAGCCCCTCTCGCATTTTTTCCCCCACTTAGAAAAGGGAAGTGAATGTTTTCATGCATATTAAAACACAGTACCTGTCATCAGTGCTGGTACATGAAGCAAGCACTGGATTGACTAGGTCTGCATTGGCCCAACCACTGGAGAGCAACAAGAGAGTCCAAACCAGTTCTCTCTGCTGACCTCTCCCTGGGCTGCCATTAAGTGTGCCTGGGGGGGTCACGCGCCTTCCACTGGCAACTGGACTGACACTCAAGGGATACTGAAATTACAGGCTGAATCCATTAGAACAAGTCCCATTAGAACAAATACATTACTTATGGGCGTTATGTACGTCTTGTTACATAGAATTTTATATTTCTTAGCAGGGAAGTTGCAAGGTTTGTGGTGGTAAGGTTGCACACTCAAGAACATTGAACTCAAAAACTTTTATATAGTGTATTGAGTTGTTTGTCTACTTTAAAAAATGTATTTTTTCCTATCTTATTCCCCCACACTTAATTTTTTGTCATAGCTTTTGAATTATCAGTGCAAAGAATGCAAGCTGAGTGGTGTTCTGGAGGAGGTCTGAGAAGATCTCAGTACATGCCACTCAAAGAAAAAAAAAAATCAGAAAAGTCAGATTCTGAACAGGAAGAGAAATACTTCCATTTTTTTTCAAACGAAAGCTTCCTTTGCCTGTTCTCCCGCATTCGGTGTGTAAGAGCAAAACCCACAAATCGAGGACTCAAGCACGCTGGTTTTAGCAGGCAATGGAAACATAGCTGGAGAACTGACCTTGTCAAATGTTTGCTTGATGCATGTACCTCCATTTCATTACTTTTGTATTCATTTAGCTCTTTCCGAATTGCTGCCTAGGAATTGAAAAGAGAAAAAGGTTAACAAATAATCTTGTATTTATAAGCATTGTAAAATACTGGACTTGCAGAGCAAAACAGGAGTTTTCTAAAGCAGAAATAATAGATATTGGGCACAGCAAAGCATACTGTGCCAGTAGAGATGCTGAGGGTTTAGGTTATATAGATTGCTGATGTGATACTTATCGTTCTTTACTGATTGCTGACATGGTCACCTGTCTAGAAGCAATTCTGACAGGAGAATAAAGCCACAGTGCTTATTGACTCACATGTAATAAGATTACAGTTAAAATTTATTACAGATTAAGAGAAGTTGCCAAGAAATGGATAGTTGGTCAACTGACTTCTATGGAACTTCTAGGTGTGTCATTTTTTTTTAATAAAAATCACACTGTTTGCCTTATCACAACTTGCAAACACCAGTCCAGACTGTGTTATCACCTGTATCCATACAATTGCACCGTCATAAGTGAAGAAAAATGTTCTCTTTTGGTACTTAATATAATGAAATTCAAGACTGTAAAAATGAGACCGTTCTTTTGTTTAAATGGCAGCTGTGAGTGAACTGGAAGGCACTGGTGCTTTCACAGACTCTTGTATATTTGGTAGCTTGTAAGTTAACTACATAAAATTATGAGGCCGGTACCCATGTTCATGTTTTATATCAGAGATCTGGCTTATTAAAAGAAAAATGAGGAAAAAGAATGTATTTGTCTACTCGGAAAGAGAAGGTTTTCAGTCACAAATGCAATGGTCAAACTCCTGACTCCAAATTCCTGACATATGCCGCCAGCCTGTGCAACTGCAATGTCACCTTCCTTTAAGCTTATAAACCTGGTTAGTTAACAATATAAAACCAGTAAAACTAGTCAAAGCCTAATTTTAATACATACCCTGTATGTACAAGGAAAATACAAAATCATTATTCCATTGATTAATACATAATAGCTTATTCACCATTTTAGTGAGCTCAGGAGATCAGCTACTGTAGAAGAAATGCATTGTTCCTTTTCTGTACCAGTCCTCTAAAACAGGTTGTTACCCTTTTTACTGGGGAGGCACTGGAATGGAGAACGAAGTGTTGGATCTCCACATCTCGGAACAAAGGGGTAAGTTTACCCACTCATTATCTCAGCATCCCTACTCATTCTACTTGCTGCAGCCCTGAACTTTAAAACTTACTCAGCAACTCCTCTATCTGGAGTCGTGCTGAACTACTTTCCTTACTGCTGAAGCACCTAAATATGAAGGTTAAATTAGGGTGTAAATCAGCTATGTGGCAGGTATGTGAGGGAACAAACGCGAGTGTTTGTGCTTGTGAAAACGTGGGACCAAGTGATCCCTTCAGCATTCCTAGGAAACAGGAAAGGAAATATTTGCATGTTTAGAAACATAGTGGAGGGTATTTGCATGTTTGGGACAAAACTTCCAGTCTGAGGATAAACGTTAATATTGCATTGGCTGGAAGTGGTTTTGAGTTGCAGCCCTAAAACGTTAAGAAAGATTGTATCCACCTTTTGTTTGTTTGTTTCAGTTGATGGGCTGGGTAGAAGCCTTTACAGTACTAAATAAGCATTTTTATAAATAGCAATTTTATGACTATGCATTGGTCAGAGTGGTTTCAGCATCAAAAATCATGGTAACATTTACAGAGATTAAATATCCCAGATGTTAAATGTCTTTGCAGAATCTGATCTATCATTATAGACAAAGCAATTAGAAAGCAATAATATGTCATTTTATTTATGTCAGTACCTTATCTGCTGCTGATAGTCTGGTCCATGGTTTATCTGCTCGCCTGTCATAGTCCTGTGCTTTTGCCACTTCCACGTAATCACTGAATCGAATCAGGATTTTTCTGTCTCTTAGTTCATCGACTGTAGGTCTCTGGTTGAGCTGTATTAAAGTTTTGTAAAATAAAAGCAGTGTTAATACAAACATATCAACAAATGTGCAACATTTTCTGCTTTCCATCTTAGCTTAGTGTGCATTTATGTATATGAAAAAAAAAAAGCCCTTGGAAATTCCAGGGAAATATTCAGTCCCTCAGAGGACTGTTAGGAGAGTAATAACGGTTCAAATGGAATTGTGGGCTACAGCACAGTGGCTTTATAATGGGCAAAAGAGGAAAATATTTTAACCTGGATATTGATAAAATACATTTACAATATGTAAAGGAATCGTAATGAATTTATCATGATCTGTGTATGCTATCATACGCTGTAGGGGTTTTCTACTACAGTCAGCAGCAGATTGTCTGTGTAAGGTTTTCAGGACCGGACCCATTGTAAGAATTTCAATTTGGCTTTATCAAGTTATCGGCATATTTGGCTTATAATTCCACTAGAGATTCCTAGGAACAGAACAATAACAAGATCTAGTTCTGATTCTGAGAATACCTTAAAAGCAAGGAGAAATTTGTTATGGGAGCACACCTGGTGCTCAGCAGGGAGTCAGCTCTGCTACCGATGGCTCCAAAGAATGAAGTGGTCCTTTTCCAGCAATAGAGTTGCAAAATATACAGTGTGCAAGCAAACAGCCATTTTCTAATTTAAAGTTTATATGTAAATATTCTACTAAGCCTCAGGTAGCTGAGATAAGGTAGATATTTTTGAGTTCTGTTACTAGATACCACTACCTCAGACACTGCTGAGGAGAGTGTATATTAAGGGAGGGTTTGTGTAGTAACGACCTCTATGATGGGCCGATGTTATATTAGCTTTGCTAAATTTCTAAAAACTAATAGAAGGTACTGCAAGATTTTACCTTTCTTGTCAGTCTCTGTTTGATTTCCCTTCTTTCTTCCTGTTCTGTTTGATCATTTCGTTCTGCAGAGAATATAAAAAAAAAGATGACTTTCCTCATGAGGAGGATCAGTAGTTTCCAAAGTTCCAGGCAACAAAGATTAGAGCATAGAAAAATTAGTAGCTGGTCCTTAGCGCTAGGTTTTGTTAGTTCAGTACATCGCTCTGGTTCTCCGTTAGAAGATATAGTTACCTCTCTGTAAGGACAATGTACTGGTGCCAATGTCAGCTTTCCCTGTGCTCTGAACTCCCAATTCCAAGGAGATTTAATAAAACAACAGCAGCCACACAAACTCTCCAATTGTATAAAGTTTAGCAGGAAAATCAAAATATTCCATAGTTAATCATCGTTTTTTGTTCTCCACGTTGCTGGAGCCATTCACTGCTGTAGATTCTGAAAAGACTTATTGCAGCAGCTCCAGGGAAACTGTTCTTTCCTGCATAACCTTATTCTCAGCTACGTCTTTGGGTGGTCACACTGCCGCTGTTATCTTTGACTTGCATGCTTTTTTTTCCTCTGCTATTCAGGATATGCCACTGACATAGGAACCTCTTTATCCTCACGGGGTTTTCTTTTGTAGCGTTCCATTCTGCCCTAAGCCAGCTTGCTTTTGTGTGTAGCGCCTATTAACATTCAAGCCGTGATAACTCCTACACACGGGGTCTAAAAATAGACTGCAGTGTTGTAACACTGTGTGAAATATATCCCTTGCCTTAGGAAACGAGTTAATGGCATTTCTATTTCTAGTACTATCTGTTACTAAATTAAGGCGTGAGCCTATGACCTGAACAAAGATGAAGACCTAGAGGAAAATGTTTTAACTCTTCTGGGATTCTCTAGATACTAGCATGAAGTTTATTATACCACTTCCATTAGGTATTTCCAGTGTTAAAGCACACGTGATTTTTAATATGCCTCAAAAAAAGAAAAGCCCACTAGCACTGCAGATGAGTTTTCAAAATGATATTTTTAGTAATGAAGTATTCTTCTCCCTTATTTTTATGCTCATTAGATTTCACTGAAATGCAGTCATGAGTATCATTTAAAATAACATAGTAGTGCATAGCTACAACTGGCTATAGTAGAAATGTAAATCAACTGAATCTAAAATGCAATAATGTGCTATATTACAATTTGGTGGTAAGGCACACAAATCTAAAAGAGAATAGGGCAGCTAAAATTAGTGCTCTGTCACGGATGAGCAGGTATTTAAGTCTGGAATGTTTAAAAAGAGAATAGGTTTTAAAAAGTAGGGTGTATTCTAAGATGCAGAGATACCTGCAAGAAGTTACAAATATGCTTCACTCAGTTTTAATTCACCCCTTTTAGAGCAGATATTACTATCTATATCTGTATTTTTTAAAAAGGTACCATGCCACAGAAAATTCTCTTCTCTTAATAAGCTATGACTGTGATATGCACTGAGTGAATTCCTAAATAAACACCACAAATACACATTTCAGATCAAAAAATGCCTTTCCAAATTTACTGAACATGTATAGTGACCCATTTCTGTGAGACACTCACTCAGGTTCAGTACTTATTCCCAGCTTCAAGAAATAAATAGTTCTTGTAGAAAAAATAAAACAAGATTTGATAGGAACTGCTAGCAAGGGCATTATGAAACTCAGGCGTTATTACACAGACAAAGCAGAGAGGTTTTTTCCCATCAACATCACTCTGCCTACGCTTGGATCCATTCATTAGTGAGGGTGGTTTTATAAATCCCAGTAGAGAGACGCTCCCAATTATGAACTGGCACGTGCGGTACTGTAATGCATTTTGCTGCTCTGTGAGTTATTCTGGGCACTCCTAGGTGTGCGTGACACTAGAACAACTCCTGGTGTTAAGAAGGAACCGGGGAATGTGCCGTGTGACTTAAGAGATGCTACCTTCTTGAACATGAATGTCAGCTTTCTGTTGAATACAGGAAGAATGCACGTGAACACCTGGGTCATGATTTTAGGTCGTATGCTTTTCACCCTTTGTGGTAAACCAGCAGTGTTTCTATAGTTAAAGTAAAGGACTTAGAAGATCAACAAAATTGTATGAAAGTGATGGCTTTAAGTTTCCTTTTTAAGTATTCCTTTTAACTCAGAAACATTTCCCTAAGGGAGGTGTCATCACTTTTTTTTAATCTTACCGAGATTTGTTTTAAAATAACATAACAGTTGCACTTAGGCTCTTGCAATACGCTTCTCATTTGGACAGAGTTGTGCAAATGTGCATGGTTAGTCCTTAGAAGAGCTTTGGGGTTAGCACCGCTTGCATTAGCAGAGTGTATTATGAACTTCAGAGCTGTTAGGAAACTTAGGATGCAGCTGTACAAACCCTTACAACCTGGAGGAGGTTGTAGTGATTTCACTGAAGGGCATTTATACTGCTACAGCTTTGCATGTCAGACCCAATCCGGGTGGTTTTAAAGCCCGTAACAAGAACATCAATACCCCTGTTAATAAAAGGAGACTTTACTAATTTCCAAATTCACTCAAAACTGAGCCTAGAGTTGTTGCATCTGTCCAGCCTTCTAAGATTACAACTGGCACAGCTACGTGATGACCGTAGCTCCTTACCAGATTACCTAGCTTTCTATATAATGGAAGAGGTAAATAAAATAGAGGTGGTTCTGATCTCAGCTGAACCTGTATAAAGCCCGAGCAACTGAACTGAAGTCAATAAATTTGCTCCATGCTGGGAGCTCTTTAAATGAGATACAAATCCAGACCAGTATGTTTAGCTGGCATTCAGGAAATATCTTTAATTCTGCTTTATCTTCTTTCTGCTTTATCTCTCTCTAAGCTCATTATATGAATGTGTTCAAACTTTTTTATTATTAAAGCTGGTCAGTTTAACCCAGATTAAGGATGTAACCAGCACACTTCAAAAAGTAAACATTAAGGAAACAGATTTTTTTTTTTTTTTTTAGTAGAGATCAGCTCTTCCTTAGCCAGGGAAAATCCCAAAGAAACAGATTTTCAGAGATCTTAAGTACTGACTCTTGAAAATGTGGCCCCACATATTTCAGAATCTTGGGTTACTGCTGCTTCTTGTCTCTTGTGGTAGAAGACAGGCCAAGTTCATCCATTCACATTTGCAAAAAATGTGTCCTTTTCCTCATTTAGCCATACAAGTATTAGATACATAGCACACAGTATAATTAGATGTATGCATTGGAACAGTACTGAAGATGCTGATAAATGTTATATAAATTGACTGTGGAATTCCTTTGTGTTAAAACTGAAATGAAATACCCAATAACATCAATGGCAAGAGTGTAAGTTGTTGGGTTTTTTTTTTTTTTCTATGAACTACTAATAGAGCCCTGAGATATTAAATTTTAGGTAACAAAATGTAGGTAACCTTTTTCCTAGCAAATTCCAATCACATTAATACTTAAATATGAATTAAATAGCATAGACAGCATTGCTTGTATGACAAATGTATGTGGCTTTGTTTTATGCTTGTTTAAATGAGAAACAAGCTATTGTTCACATCATTCTGTTTTTTGTCTTTCAACACTAAATAGGCCATGAAAATAACAGAAGCAACATATTTTTCCTTCAAGCAGATGGCCTCCCCCTTTCTCCTGTCTGAGACCTATAATGGAGACAATTATAAAGCTCACTCTCACCTTCCCCCAACTCGGAGGATTCCCAGTACTTCTAAGGAAAGGGATTATGTTCATCACTTGTTTGAACCCCAGGTCAGAGCACCAATCTTTAAGAAAAGAGTTGCAAGTTTCTACCTTGTTTTCATTTGAGAGATGTTGAGAACATTCCCCTGGGACAGCATCTGTAACAGGCCTGGAACTGTCCCTCCAATAACTCTCATATCTCGAAATGATCTTCCTTTGTCTTGGCTTTGGGAAGATCTCTAATGATATGAACAAATGGACTTGCTAGGAGAACCACACCTCTGCAAGGATGCTTTCTCCATTCCACTTGGTGGTAATCAGTGTATGGTTTGCCATGGCAGCCCACGTCATGAAAAATGTCAGTGCAATTCTCATTGTACTCGGTGACACGAAGACTGTACTCCCCTCTGAGACGTCCAGAACAGTGTAATCAGAATGAAAATGATTTGAAAGCCTAAATTTGAACAAGTCACTCTTTTCTGTACTAAACTGCATACCTTCATCAAGTTGTAAATTCTGATTCCTGTAGTATTTTAAACCAGCACATGTGAAAAATTAAAACTTTTAGGTATAGAAAATAATCCCAGTGAATGAATTTGTCTATTTAAAAATATGTTCTACAAATGCAATAACTGGTTTCAAAAAACACATATAAAATACTTTAGGAAAGAAATACTCACGTTTAAGTATATTTCTTCTTTCTAGCTCCTCAACAGCAGGTCTTTGGCTGAGTCGCCTGCGGAAAAACACCAAAATCACATTTTGTACCATGCCTGTTCTTTGGCAAGTCTGCAGTATTCTGAGTTGTGGTTGGTGTTTTCCTCAGGGAGGGGACTACAGAATCCCTCTCCAGGGCTCAGGAAGAAGAAAAAAAAATACAAGAATCCTGGCACCAGAATGCTTTCTTATATTATTTTTCCCAAACGTCAGCAATGCAGGTAGAAGTTCTCCTCTAGTTTGCTCTGCTGTCAGTGAAGCGCTTCCTCAGAACATGCATCCTTTTCACCATACTTTCCAGACAGTCACTTGGAACCAGCGCTCTCCAACAGTTAAATTCCCTCTTGAGGGGGTATTTAAGGTGGTTATCAAATGAGTTTCACAGTGATCTTCTCTAGCTATCACTGCCTCTACCTTTTAATCTCACGTAGCTGCAGGCTTCCTTTTTTCTAGTAACACCAGTGGTGCATCCTGACAAAATGCAGACTTGCCAGAAATAAAGCTTTCCCGTGGTTTCCCGACTACACATCTAACAGACCAATCCAGCAGCTCTCCCCCTGCCTGCTGAATAAAATTCGTGTGCTGCTCACAGCCTCATGCTGTCTGAACGGAGTGTCTTGTGCAGTTTCACCTCCCCTTTTCAGTAGTGCTGCTTCAGGATTGAGTCTTCAAATCATATGATCAGTGCCATAGTGATTTTATTCTGCATACTAAATGAGACTTGCCCATGAGACACTGCTAATATCTGCAGAGAATCCCAGGTAATTGAACCCCTCCCCTAGGCAGACACACACATGCTGCAGTTGCTAGCTTTCAAGTAATAATCCAGCAAGCAGATCGGAAAGAGTTTGTGCTGCTTTCTGGCCTGCGATCTGGCAATGTTAAGGATTCTCATCGTCTCCTCTCCAGCAGATGTTGCCGAGCCAGAGATAAAGTTACAGAGACAAAGAAATACTCAGAGCAGGGACCACACTGCAAATCACTGCTACAGTAGTTATCCCTCTACTGTGTACAGGAAATAATGATTACAAAGTGATGCTGTAACAAGATCTACATTTTATCAAATATACAGGAGATGAAAAAATGAAGTAACTGTTAACAGACTAAAAGAACCAGTGAAAGTACCTAATTCTAATTTTACCTTGCGTCAGAAGCCTTAACAAATACACCTCCAAAATCAACTCTGTATTCATCTGTTACCAGACCAACAGCGCAAAATACAAATGCAACTCCTTTTTTAAATTAATTTCCCTGAGATCACTGGGAAGGCTCTCATCTTTGGCAACAGGAAGGCATCGCAACTACTCTACCAAATTCACACCAACAGAAAACTTAGCTGATGAGCTCTTGTGCTTAGAAACAACTACAGCCTAACTCTTGTTCTTCCCACTTAACATTTTGTATCACCTAAGGTTTTTCTCCAGGTCTCTGGATTTCTCTTCGGAGTAATGAGTCAGATACTCTAGCAGTGGAAGTTGCCATAACCCAAACTGAATTAGGAATGATGCTGAAATGCCCCAGGAAAGGCTTTAAACATGTATTTTTAATTCCTGTTATTTTTGGACTCCTCCCTCCTCCCTCATTTCCCTGTATGTCTCAGAAATGATACAACTCTGGCTAAGTTTTGTATGAAAGAGATTAACGTGCATTTTATAATATAGATCAGGGAAGAATGACTTACTCAGAGAGCTTATCTGCAAATGAAAGATCCACCCGGCCTGCAGCTCATACGCCTCCCTCTCAAGCCATTCTTAATTACAGCCTTTCATTGCGAGATTTATAGATGCTCCCAGAATCTGTACATTAGATTTCAGAGGCCCCTTTTAACCTGGGGGATTAAAAGCCTAACAGAAATTATTAAAGCAGTATGAGAATGCATACGTATATGCACGTTCTGTGTATTTTTATATGGAGGGAGTTATAATGTGTATGATGATTAATTATTTTAAACCCTGTTTCCCTTTTGGCTTTTGATAAATACGTGGTAGCTGCCCAGAGACAACAACATATTTCTCTGCTCACCCACAGCTTTACCCATAACAGAAGGGAAAGGTGCAGATGTACACAGGCCTATATACACAAGAGGACATCGCATTTTTTTCCTGAGTTTTTCAGAGATATGGACTATGCTTCCAAGCTTTTAGTCATAGTCACGAAACTAGATGTGGACTTTCCTTCAAAATTAAATTCTAACAGGATTTCGGGAAGCTGGGGATAGAGTGAAAACACCACCTATAGCGAGAGCCGTGATCAAACAACGGGAAGTGGCAACACTACTGACATTGACCAGGGTGTAGGGACATTTTGTTTCTGTCAATTATTTTTGCTGTTCCGAAGCCTCTCTCTGCCCAGAAACCCCTTTCGTTTGCTTTCTCTGCCACGAGAGCTGTGCTGTGTGGTGGCTGGGCTCCGGGCGAAGGGGGAAGTTGGTGATCAGGTGAAGGACTCCAGATGCCTCCACCAAGGGCTGCTGGCTGTAGGGAGGGGAAGGGGCTGCGAGCCCGGCCCGGCTGGGTGAGCGAGGGCCGGGGGGGGGGGCATGTGTCTCTGCTGAGCTGCGCTGGAGCACATCAGGAGGCGAGGCCCTTTCTGCAGGAGGGCCTTTTCCATGGCCGGAGAGGAGCGTGCGTGCTCGTAGGGTGCACTGCCTCGCCTGATTGTCTGTCATAGCGAGAAACTAGTTGCTGCTGTGGGTATTTACTGCATGAGCAGACCCCATCCCGCCTGAGTTGCTCGGCTGCTTTTGGAGGAGGCTGCTTCATCCCCCCACGGGGGGCTAAGCAGCCCCAGCCGCGCTTTGTTTCCTCAGAAGGGGACTCACAGTCCCCCCTGATACTGCCGACTGCCCTCAGAACTCGCCTGCACCTGGGCTCGGAGCGAGGTAAGGACAAACACACGTCTGAGGGCTCCTGTCAGGCCAGCGGCTCGGCATAGCGCAGGGGAAGCTGCAGGTTACCCCTGTCAAAAATGCATGTCCCTCTTGAAGGGAGCTTGTAAGTAAGAAACCATTTCAGATGGGTTTGTCCCTCTGCTTGGGTGAGCTGTTCTCTGGGCACTGTGGGGCTCTGCATGCTTTCCTGAGCAAGAAGCGCTCTATTTTGGATCTTTATTTCATATTTTTCTGCAAGAAGCGCTCTATTTTGGATCTTTATTTCATATTTTTCTCTGAAGCTGTTGAAACATGAAAACGTGCCTCTGACAGAACCAGCGAACATCGAACTGGCTGCCTTTCCTCAGAAGGT